AAGGAAAACTGATCCATGAAGTTGCCATTTGCATAAAATGCAGAAGCATCTGTCGCAGGCTCCCTCCTGGTTGAGTTCCTGGCAGCCAGGGTTCCCGCAGCTGGCCTGCCTCTGCATTAGGCTCCCATGCAAGCTAGGAGCCTCCCGGGAGAGGACGGTGTCCAGGGCAGGGTGAGAACTTTTTCAAGTCACACTCGACATATTTACAATATTTTTAATAAACTCATAACATAACCAGCCCTGTCATACACACACACACACACACACACACACATACCACAGCAGCTCAGATTCAGTCCAAGAAAAACTGTAATTGATGACACTTCTCTGTAAATATGTTTCTTATCAAGGTCATGATGAATGGATCACAATCACATTGCACATCATTACGTAGCACAGAGGGTGGAAATTGTCAGGCAAGGTTAGGGTTATTCACAGGGCTTCATTTGGGAAGATTTTTGCTTTGTTTGGTTTTGTTTTGTCTGGTCTTCTCTTGTGTCTAATTAAAAGCGTATCAGTGTGGATATCTTTGTGCCCACTTCACACACACACAGAAAAGGAAATTGCTTCTATTGCTAAAGTAAATTGTGAAATCAGGATGGATTAACTAAACTTTAAAGAGGTACACTCCAGTTTCATTCTTTTACCACATTTATTCCTTCATAACACTCAAACCAACAATTCCAAGTGTCAAGTTCAGTCCCCCAAAATGTCTATAAACTCCTTGACTAGGATGTGGCAGAGAAGTAGACACAGTTTTCCACAAAGATGAATATAAAGCAATTTAAATTAAAGTGTTTTCAGTATTTCCTCAAGCACATTTTAAATACATTTCAAAGTGTCTGGGGCAGTAATACGAAGTATACAACACTTTTCAATATTGGGCTGCCTCCATTTTTCAATGCTGATACATTCGCTATTACCTGCTTCCTGGGGATAGAGTTACTGCAATCTGTCTGACAAGGTCTTTGTGAGTAAATGGCGGAGAAGCAGGCATAGTCACCAGTTAACAAATTCAGACTTTGAAATAATTACAGTTCTTTATAACAAACTGGTATAATTGGACTAAAAGTTTCTCTGATGCAAGTTCATCAGCCAGCAGTAATCAGATAGGAGGCTTCTTTGAAACTTTTCTGATTCATAAATAATATAGTAGTTTACAAAGAGGAAGTTTGTGGGAAGCAGCAGTAAACAGTCTCGCAATCCATCTGTTATTATGGAATCCAGAAGAGCTGAATCAGGATCCACGTTGTTTATGATATAAAAGATGCTTGGGAAATGTTGCTGAAATAATTATTAACCAAAAATGTCATGTTTTTACTTTTTAGAAGTCTGAATCATATGTAGCTGTGATGAAATGTACCCACCTGTGTGAATAAGTGAGGGAAGTTTACCTGGCTTGATAATTTAACAGAATACAAACTACAGTTTTTGAAATGTGTTTTCAAAGGCATGGTGGAGTAGACACTTATTCTCTAACTGCTGGTTAAGTTTTTAAAGTTATATCCAAATATGTTCTTCTTAAGAATTACATGATTTTTAAGAATAGAGCTTTAGAATCTGACTTAATCAAAGAATGAGTAGATTCAACATTTTACATGAAATGAAAATAGCCAAAGCTGAAATATCTTTACACTTGTCCATCTCCTGATCTGGACCTTGCTCTACTTTTTCTCCTCACCAATAACCCCTGAACATACACAGAAAGATTGTGTGTGAGGCTGTCACTCTTGTCTCCCTTTTAGTTCCAGGAATTAGCCCTCAAGTAGGACTTGCTCGATACTCGTTTGATTGTTTAATATTTTGGAAAGAACCAACCGACAAATGTGTTAGCGCAAAGGAATTTCTACAGTGAAACATGCTTAGTTTCAGATTTACTTTAAAAGAGATCAAAATGTTTCTCCCCATATAGCTTTTTGTCCAAAGCATGATGATAGTAAATTTATCCTCTCATAGTAAAGCAAATGACCACAACTAGAGAAGAGTTTTCTAACATTCAGAAACAATAACAGCAATTATGTCTATGGATTTCCAATAATACTAACTTTACAATGTAATATAATTAGTACATCACTTACCATTAATCAGGCTAGAAATAGATTTTTCCAATTATGGGGAAAATGAACTAAAAATCTAACTAAAATAGATTGTCAATGTAAAGATGTAACAATGCTAGATAAGTTCAGGTACATAGATCTAAAATACCTTATGTATTATTATCACTCTTGAGTTTCAAATTGGTTTGGAATACTTTGTTGCATTTTACAGAAAACTCATAAAACAAAAATCTACACATAATCCTCCTTTAAGTACATTTTGTTGGACTGAATAGTAGAGAAACCAGCTTGATAAACAAGACCCACAGCGTTGTTTCCTACAAACATTGACAATAGTGCCATCTTCTGGCTCTACAAATAAAGTGATTCCTACATTCTATTTTTATCAAACTGCCGAAAAGTTGATTATTTGAAGAATGAGTAATCTTCAGCCGAGAGTTCAGATACAGTTGTTATTAATAAATGTGATGTTTTGCCTTCATAATTACGATTGGGACATCTTAAATCTTGTGTTTCTCTTCCTTTGGCTGATATACTTTTTAAGGAGAAACCTCTGACAGTTTCCGGCTCCTTTCTTACCTTTAATTTCTGGTATTTTATCTTAATCCAAACCTGTTGTGACCTACCTGATTTGTCCTAAGGATTGCTTCTCCACCCATAGTTCTATGAATGTGTCTCTGTCCCTTTGTTGTGTTTGGTCTCTCCAGGTCCATCGGTGACCTTTATTTGGAAGACATCTCATATTTAATTCTGCACTCTCCCAGGACTCCTAGCATTTCTGATTCCCTAACTATGTCCTCACAGTTCCCCTTTTTAATCCCCATTATATTTTTCCAACGTTGTCCAAATTAGTAAAAATTCAACAATTAGTAAAATGCAAATGAATTGCCATAATTGCTTTGAAAGTCTCTTTAGCCATGAAATACTATCTGCTGTTGAACACTGACAGCAATGCTACATCTTTTCATGTACATTCGGCAACAGATAAATAACCAAAATAGTAATGTCTCTTTTGCCCTTTCAATATGTTTAGTACAGTTAAACACCAAATGGAGTAATGGTAACACACAAGAGGGATTCTGTATCTTTGTAGAGATTTAAAAGCTACCATGGAAAGAGGAATGCCAGTGCTTTGGGCAGACTAGGTCATCCACAGGTACTGGTTAAAAAATAATTAGGTGAGCAGGTCCCAACCAGGGCACAGGAAATTTCGCAAGTGAAGGGAATACAATTTTATAAAGAGGAGCAGGACAGAATGGGTGTAAATTTCCTAATCAAATGAGTGCACAAATGACTTGTGGGCTTTTGTTTTTTGTTTTTTTTTTTAAAGTTGTTTTTATTTTTAAGGACTAAGCTTGTCAAATTTTAATCAGGGAGATAGATGAATGACAGATGAAGAGCAGCAAATGGGAGAAAATTTAAGGGAGCAGAAAAAGAAACAAGTGAAAATAGGAGAACAAAAGCTTGCCCAGGGACGGAGCAGAGCAGGGCGGTGAGGGAACAGGGGCAGAGGAGGCGGGGCCTCAGACACCCAGGTAAACTGCAGTGGGGCACTCAGCCTGCCCCAGAAGAAAAGGAGCCTCAACACCAGTCGTTCCCTGGGCCCTGTGAACCAAAGTACAGTGTTGCCCAGACCTAAGTGAGGCGACAAAACAGATGGGAGGGTCCCTGGTGACCTTCCATGGCAAAGGGAGCATGCAAATCCCCGTGGCGATCGCATCTCAGCCACAGGGGCCAGTCTCCAGCTCACATTCAGAAGACCACAGCTCTGCTCTCTCACCGGGGCGTCCCAGACTTGCGCTACCGATGTGAACAACTGTATCTAAGTACAAACCTCCACGGGTCTGGCCGACATTAACACACACAGACACGGATTGACGGATCCTCGGAGTGGTCCAGTGTGCAGCAGGGTCTGGGGACCACGGAACTAGGCTCAGAATTTCCTACCAGGCAAGGTTGGTAGCTTCAGCCCCTCCTGCTACCCTCAGGGCATTAGGCCATTAACATACTTTTGTCAAGTGAAAGTAATAAACACCGGCTCCTCTTTGACCTTGTACCTTTGTGCTTTGTGTTTCTCTGAACCCAATTTCTTTCTCTGTACTTTGAGAGTCAAATACTTTTACTTCCTAATTCTGTGACCTAGGGCAAGCTACTTAACTCACTCTCTCTCTCTCTCTCTCTCTCTCTCTCTCTCTCTCTGTCTCTCTGGTTTAGTTTCTTCCTTTGTAAAGTGGGCTTTATCATAAAGCTGTTGAGAAGATCAAGTGAGATAATGCAAGCAAATCCCTTAGCTCAGTGCCTGCCAAATAGTCAGCACTCCAAAAATGTCAGCCGTTATTATTATCCATTTATTCATGAGTTAATTCCCTGCCAACATAAAGGATTTTTTAAAAAGTCTTTTGACAAAGAAAGTATCAAGAACTTTATCACAGTAGCCTGAAAAAGGGAAGTCCAGACACAAGAGGAAGAAACAATCTTTTTTGAAAGGTTAGGAGAAAGTTGAAGATGGGGCATCAGGACAAAGTGTTCCTTTTAAATCTAAAGGCAACTCAATGCCTAATCTTTTAGCCTATACCCTTGGTGAAAAATATAAGAGTTAGAAAATCAATAGGCAATCCACCAGCTCTTTAGAGAGACAAAAACATATTCCAAGGCAGGGACCACTGTAATAGTAGAGACGGAAGTGACAGTCCTTCTCTCCACCCCCACCCCACCCCCCCACCCCCGGGCCTCCAGCCAGGCCCTTGGAGCTTAGACAAGCTGAGCCCCATGCCTGCTGCCCAGTGCCAGTGTCCTTGGAAGCTGCCCCAGGAGAACAGCCACTTACAGCTGGCCCATGAGAGAGACCTCACAGTCTCCATGCAGCCAGAAAGTCTTCCTGACACAGCAGAGCAACTCCTCAGAACAGGAGTCCCTGGTGTCTGACTGCCCCTACTCACCTCTCACGCAAGCTCTGGAGCTCCTAGGCAGGTTGTCCAGTTATAAAGAACTCAGTTATTGCTCCCGAAATGAGGGATGGGCACAGCAGGAGAAGCATCGAGGTGGGCCTGCGGGGCCAGAAGAAATCACACAGTGAACAAGATGCCTGCTTATAATTGAGTTAAACGTATTATCTTCAAGCGGTTGAAGTCTGAAAGGCAAATTAACCTAAGAAGCCCTCCATAACCATTATGGTGGGGTAAAACGCAGATCACTCTAGGTAGGAAGGGTTTCATCAAAGGCCAGGAAAGCTAGATGATTGGCTATTATGTGTAAATTGGAATCTGTTTTCACAATAATCAACTTGTTAATTTTCAATGAAATTATTTCAAAGAAATTTTAGCATTTCCTGAACTCTCTTTATTTGCCTCTATCCTTTTCTTTCACCAGATGGACATAATGTCAATGTTTAAAAGGAAGTATTTATGCCTTTCTTTCAGCAGTTAATTACTACCTGTCACGCAATTGAAGATTTCAGGCAAGCCTAAGCAGACAGAAATGTGCAGCCTTTCAAGGCAGAAATTCACTCATTCAACAAATGCATACTGAGTGTCTGATGTGTGTGCGGCCTGGTGGTTGCTTCATTGGAAGCTGGTCTATAAACACATTCAGGCAGAAGGGAGACCATTACCCCTCCATAGCAAACTTGCACAAACAAGCACTAAGATGTTAGTTGCCGAGTTGTGTTCTCCACGACCCATAGGCAGATGGTGTAACACATGTGCCTCAGAATGTGACTTTATTTGGAGATGGGGCCTTTAAAGATGAGATCAAGTTAAAATGAGGCCTTTCCATGGGTCCTAATCCAATCTGTCTGATATCCTGATAAGAGGAAGAACTTCGGACCAAGAGTGTGTATCACAGAGGAAAGACCAGTGAAGACACATCTAGGAGCTGGCCCACCATCTGCAAGCCAATGAGAGAGGCCTTGGGAGAAACCAGCCCTGCTGACACCTTGCTCTCAGACACTCAGCCTCCAGAACTGCAAGAAAATCTGATGTGTAGGTTACCCAATCTGTGGTTTTGTTAGGGCAACCTTAGCAAACTAATACACTCAAATACAAGCCAAATGTTTACAGGGCAAAAATGTCTTAGCTCTTCCTCAGCTTGAAGCAAAGTCCTCATTGCTTCAGCTATGTTTTATATCCTCTTTTTCTCAGAAGTCTTCAGCCACAAATTATCCCCTCAACCTTCTGGACAAAGATTCACTACCCATTGCCTTCAACAAATAAATTTAATGTTACATGTGCGTTCACGTGTGTGTGTGTGTGTGTGTAGTAACTATCCCATATCCAAAAACTATTTTAGTGAGTTACAGAGACAAAACACTTTAAAAAGTATGTGACAGCATGTTACATTATCTTAATTCCCTTTAGAGTGAGAACAATAAAGTAAAACTTGATTATATCATGGAATATAGTTTGTACAAAATAGCTCTAGTTCTACATTGAAAGATTAGTTCTGCCTGGATCCAGCATACATGTCATATTTCTGGAAAGTCATTTGACATGAATCAGTCTAAAAAATAAAACAAGCAGGTGCATAATATATTACCCAGAATAAAATAAACATGGCTTCATTTTTAAGTGCCAGAGTTTATTTCGTCCATTAAATCTCCATCAGCTGCTAAATGTTTGGTGCCCTCTTGTGTCCACTTGGGGATAAGTTTGCTCACAGAATTTGTGAAGAATTCACTCCACACTCTCATTCAATCCCTGAAAATTGCAAGAGAACACTCAAGAGAAACAAAATTCCCCTTTTCTCTGCACGAATCATACCAGTTATAAAAAATACAACTTGGTTGAAATATATATATTGTTAAAATCCACATTTTCAAATAAATACTTCTAGACCCAGTTGACTCCCTTAATATTTGAGCTGTCTTTCCTATAGATTGCTTATCTCCCAAATCTTTAGTTCTAAAATATATCTCTTCCCAGGAATCCTTTAGAACTGTTCATTTTTTACTCAGATTTCTACAGGACAACATTGTATAAAATATTTTTTTACCAGTCAAACCATGATTATATGAGTACAGTTTTACTTAAAATACTAGTTGTTAATGCCACCATTCCTATTTCCATGAAGAAGAGGAATGATTATAAGCCAACTGCCGAAACATGACCTCATGCAAACTAGTTTAGTATGTTGGCAATTACAGTACAAAAGGTCACATTGCACATTAAAGTTAATTTCCCCAATTCAGATCTAATAAGGCATCCACCTTGGTTACTTCCTTGTTTGGTGTAGATATCATAAAATCTGAATTGGCATCTATATCACAAACCATCTGAGCCTAGCCCTATTTCTCATTACTAAAATTTAGTTCAAATAGCATACATCAAAATCTAACCACCTGATTTATATTTGCGTTGTACTCAGATGTAAAACCATATTCATCTGGGGTGTGGCCTTTATTTCTCCTAAACACACCATTAAACTTCCCAAGGAAATTCACTACACCTAACTCCAAAGGCAAGAGAACTGGCAAATAAGGGCTATCTCAGAAGCTTCCTTGAAGACACAAATGCAAATTAAATATCTTATAAGTCAAAGAGAGATTGACAACTATTGAGAAAAAAGTGACACAATCAGAAGCTGGCATCAGCAGACACAGCTCAAAGGTGGAATAAGCACATCTCAACAGAAAGGCAGAGCCCTGCCATGGCCTGGTCATGGGCCTAGTCACATCAGCAGCACTAAAATTGGGCTCATTCTTTCTTTATTAGTTATTAAAAAGATAGCACATAAGAAATTCTTAGGGAAAGTGATATGGGCTAAAAAGGATGCAATTGCCTCATCAAACATTTCATTCTTGTCTGTGGACAGAAACAAATCCATAAAAAATTTACCCCTTCGTGGGAAAACATCTTGATTCTTGCAGACTCCGAGAGTGAGTCTGAAATTGGGGCTAAGTGCAAAATTACCAAGACCAACTCTGGTCTGGATTTCTGAGGACCAGAATCCCAGGTTGTTTCTGTGAGACAGACAGGCAGGCAGACACACACACACACACACACACACAGTCTATATTTTAGAAAGTTAAACCCTATGAAACAGACAGTATCTTCAGAAGATGCCTCCCTCATCATTATTTTTAAATTGTCACTTCAGCAATTAAAACAAAGGGGCTCAGGTGAGGACTTTTAACAACCATTTCCAACTCTTCCTTTCCTGCTTTCCCTCACTCCCATTCTTTCAGATAGAAGTGTTTGGCCCAGTATTTTAATTAGCAAATTTTTCAGAATCTCAATAAGCAAATAAAAAGGCAAATGAGTTGTATAGAAAATTAGAGGGCCTCCGACCAGGGCTGAACCAACAGAGCTGGTGGAGTCTCCCGTTCCAAGCTGTTGCTGTGAGAGGAGGCAGCTCTGTCGGAGTTCCAGAGAGCTGCACTCTTGCCTGGACTCAAAGGGAAGTGAGGTGGGCTTGTGCTGGGCTCCCTGAGTGAGGAGCCGTGTCTCAGTCACTTTATGTCCAGTGCCGGGGGCATGCTGTAGAAAGCCTGCAAGGAGCAGGAGAACACAGGGGCAGTGGAACCTAGAGTCCTGCTCTCACACCCCAGGGCAAGTCCAAACCCTGCTCTGAGCTTCCATTTCCTCCCCTGGAAAGCAGATAAATAGAATTTCTGTATACCTCTCAAAACACTTGAGAAGACCAACTATGACAATGTACATGCCAACAGACTGTAAACAGTACAGCACTGAACAAAACAAACAACAACAACCTTAGTTTAGGGGCGGGTATTTGGTTCAGCAGCGATTAAGATATCACTTGGGATACCCACACCCAAATAAGAGTGTTGTCAAATCAAGTCCAGCCTCCACCTCATTCCAGCTTCCCACTAATGCTCACTCTAGGCAGGCAGCTGATGATGGCTCAAGAATGTTCCATCTTGGTGACCCCCATGAGCGATTCCAGTGGAGTTTCTGGTTGCTGGCTTCCACCTGGCCCTGCCCAGGGTGTTGTGTGCATCTAGAGAGTAAATCAGTAGAAGCAAGCTCGCTCTCTCTCTCTCTCTCTCTCCTCCCTCTCCCTCCCCCTCCTTTTCTCTCCTCTCAAATAAGATGAAAATAAATACTTAAAAAAAAAGCTTTAGTTTGGCAAACAAAATAGGAGCTGCATGCACATGATGTCACATCATTAAATTATGTAACACATCAGGACCCACCTTTCTGTAGGCGAGCACAGAAAGAAAGGCAAGGAATGGGTGAGGGTTAATTTTATATGAGAACTTAGGTAGGCCAGTGTGCCCAGCTGTTTGGTCAACACCACCCTCAATGTAGCTGGGAAGGTGTTTTGTAAATGTGTTTTACATTTGAGTCTGTAGATTTTAAATGAGGCAGATTGTCCTCTGTAACTTGGGTAGGCCTCATCCAACCAGTTGAGGGTCTGAATAGAATAAAAAGACAGCTCTCTCCGAAGCGAAAGTGAATTCTGTAGCAAAGTATGCACATGCTATAATGCATATGAACCAGTTCCTTAAAATATCTCTCATTACACGCACACAAACCCATTGGTTCTCTTTTCCTAGAGAACCCAGACATGCGTATAGACACATGTTTTATACATGTTGTATGTATGTTTTACATATACTAAGTGACTTAAAATTTATACAAAACAAAATTAAAAGATAAGCTTATTTTAGTGCAAAAAATTTGAAATCATGCCTAATATACATTTCCTATGAACTTTTTGAAGTGCTCTCTCATCTGTATGTGGAGTATTTGTGTGTGTCTGTGTGTTTCTCATAGACCCAGGTCAAAAGAAGTAAGCAAGGCCAGCGCTATGGTGCAGCAGGTAAAGTTACTGCCTGTAGTGCTGGCATCCTATATGGGCAGTGGTTCAAGTCCCGACTGCTCCAGTACCCATCCAGCTCTCTGCTATGGCCTGGGAAAGCAGTGGAAGATGGCCCAAGTCCTGATTCCCTCCCCAGATGGCCGCAACGGCTGGAGCTTGCGCCAATCTGAAGCCAGGAGCCAGGAGCTTCTTCCAGGTCTCCCACGTGGGTTCAGGGGCCCAAGGAGTTGGGCCACCTTCCACTGCTTTCTCAGGCCATAGAAGAGAG